TTCCACAAGAAGCAAATCTCTAATGTAAAAATCCAGAACACACTGCAGCCTGCCAGAAATGGCTTTACTAATTTGACTTAAGATTTGCTGTGAGCAGGGGTGCCTCCAGAATTTTTTCACAGTGGTGGCCATATAGCACCCACTAAAAATATTGCAGTGGCACAACAACAACAGAACTTCCAGTTTTATTGTGCTGTTGTCACACACATGTTACAAAAAAGAGTGAAAGAAAACAATTATATGCTTAGTTATTTCCCTGGTATTAAAATTGATATCACTGAAAACAGGTAGATATGAAAACTAAATAAGATTTTAAAACTCATAATAATCTGTTTGGATTGATTGATTGATTGATTGATTGATCGATTGATTGATTGATTGTCCCAACCATTACCTGGTAAGAGTGAGAACGGATGCCTGTGTCTATGTTGGTCCTGATATGCACCAGAGATCTGTCCAGGGATTGGCACCAGGTTTTCTGCAAGCTTATTACATTATTACCAACATAGGACAGTCTTGCCAGGGGGGGCAGCAAATGTTGCCATTGTGAAATTACCTCAAATCTGCATTATTTTTAACAGCAACAAATTGAAGGTACCTTCTTCTTCTTCTTCCTTTGGTTTCTGCTTTTAAGAGTCTCAACAGAAGATCCTCTGCCGCTAGCTCACCTAAGCTCGACCATCCTCCTCTGTCACACCAACCCTCTGCCTGTCCTCCTTCACTACGATTAATCTTCTCTGCGGTCTTCCTCTTGCCTTCCTCTTTAACCTCTGCCTGGCAGCTCCATCTCTCTTCTGCACATGTCCAAATAATTTCAGCCTTGCTTTGCTAACTTTGTCTCCATAAGGGAGGAAATACCCATGGCTCCAGAAAGACCCATAGATCTAAGAACAGCCTTCTGGTCTGACCTGGTCTTAAGCATTAGTTTTAGGTCATATTTAATGAAATAGTAAGTGAATTGTTGCCACTATTGGTGTTTAAAAGGAGTATCTCAAGGCTTCAAAACCATTTTTATACTGTCTGTGAGTTACACACAACATTCACCTGGAAGATAATGTGGTCTGGTTGCATTTATAACTACTTACGGGAGGTGAGCCACCACTGACACACTTTTGGAGATTACTGTACAGACACTCATATTAATGTGTGTGGGAATTAGTAGGAGAGGGTGAGAAAGGGTGGAGCTGACTTCTATACCACACATGCATATCACCGGGAGGGCCTGTCCGTTCCTTAAACACACCGGCTTTGCAGTCATGACAAATATATTCCTCATTTTGCATATTTATATTGTTAAATATATGACATTTAATAGGAAATAATAAACTAAGTAAATTTATCAATATACAGAGCATGACCTAACACCACAGCAGAAAGTGCGGGGGTTTGCTATTCTTATACGAACAAAAGGAAAAAGTGCTTATCAAAACTGATAGTTATTACATCTACCTAGAGAAAAAGTTTTTCATTTTCATTTCATGAATCGTGTCCTGCTCTTCCCAGTTCTAAAATGTCAGCAACAAGCTCTCCAAATCTCCCCCATTTGTAACCCCATCTGTATTTTTCTTCTGTTCTTTTAGCCAGGGGCTTCATGGATGTTCCTGTAACAGGAAGAGTTTAGCAGAGCAGATGATACTGAGTGCTGCTGAGGTCAACTGCTCCCAGCACATACTCTTTCTGCTCTGCTTTATCTCTCTCTCTCTCTTTTGTTGGTTTGTTTCTATTTTGTTTGTTTGTTTGTTTTTATACAAAACCAGACTGACTTTAAGTACTTTTGTGTCTATGTGGGGTACTATGACCACATAATTAATAAAGTATTCTGAGTCTTGAAATGTAAAATGATTATAACTACTATGGAAGCAGTTTTCAGGGTCTTTAGTCTGAAAACGACAATAATAAAACCAGTACTTAATTTACATGAAAGATTATATAAAATGTTACATAAAACCTTGTATATATGTGTAGACTGTGCCCTTATGACTGCTGTTGTCCTCCTCCTCATCCTCCTTCTCTTCCCCAACAGGCACATTGCTCATTATATAATTTGCTGTTTAAACACTACTTGATGGGAAACACTGTTGAATACTCAAGTGCAAAGGGGAACTTATCCAGTTGAGCTGTTTTCCTTTGTGAGCTTTTTCAATTCTGATCCCACTATTCAAATAATGCATCGTATATGTATCACATTTTAAACGTTTGTTTTCTTCACAGTTCATGCATTTATTACTTCTAGGCTGGACTGTTATAATTTATTATTATCAGGCTGGCCTAAAAACTCCCTGAAAGGCCTTCACTTGATCCAAAATGCTGCAGTGAGAGTACTGAAAGGGACTAAAAAGAGAGAGGGCATGTGTCTCCCACATTGGCTTCTCTTTATTGGCGCCCTGTTAAATACAAAATCAAATTTAAAATCCTGCTCCTCACATACAAGGTCTTGGATAATCAGGCCCCATATTATTTTAAAGGCCTCATAGTATCGCATTGACCCATTAGAGCACATTACTCTCAGAATGCAGGCTTACTTGTGGTTCCTAGAGTATTTAAAGTAGAATGGGAGGCAGAGCCTTCAGCTTTCAGGTCCCTCTTCTGAGGAATCCAGTTTGGATTCGGGAGACAGGCAGACTCTTTACTTTTAAGATTAGGCTTAAAACTTTCCTTTTTGATAAAGCATATAGTGAGAACTGGATCAGGTGACCCTGATTCCTCCCTTAGCTAAGCTGCATAGGTTTAGGATGCTGGGGTCTTCCCACTCAGCATTTCTGCTTCACTCACTATGTGTTTATACACCTCTTTGCATTTAATCATTAGTTATTATTCATCTCTGGCTCTCTTCTACAACATCTTTGCCCTGTCTACTCCCATCTCCCCAGACTGGACACAGTGGATGTCAGTCCCCCTAAGCCTGGCTCTGCCTGAGCTGTCTTCCCGTTAAAAGGTTGTTTTTCCTTCCCAGTGTCACCAAGTGTTTGCTCATGCTGATGGTCGTCTGTTGGGGTTTCTCCGTATTATTGTAGCATCTTTACCTTATAATATAAAGTGCCAACCAGTGACTGTTGTTATCATTTGGTGCTATATTAATAAAATTTAATTGATGGACTAAAATAACATTAGCATATAGCAGAATTTTGTGAGTAAATTAGCAACATTCATGTAAACAAGACATAGAAGTGTCATGGAGTCATTTCAATGGTTTCCTGAGAAGTAAAGCAAATGCTTCAAGATTTTTTAAAACTATTATTTTAATGAATGGCATAGCTTGTAGAAGATCACATGATCCTTTCTTCCTGTTTCTCTCTCTGCTTTATTTTTTATTGATCATTTCAGCTTGACGCACTTCTCACTTCCAACCAACCCGCTGTCCAGCAAACTGTGATGTTACTGAAGCTGCCAGCAGCTGTAAGATGATTTACTGTATCCCCCTCTCTTTCTCTCTGCCTAGCTCACTGACTCGCTCACAGAGTCAGAGCTTGGACCAAATGCTAATCCTGGTATTCAGATTTGAGCTGTGCTCTCTAGATGCTCCCCTTAGCAGAGAGACAAGGCTGAAGCAGGTGCGGCAGCATCAGAGGATAGGGAATTTGGGGGCAGAGGGGTGCACTGTTGTGCCTGTCTGTTTGTATCTGCTTTTAATACACACACAGCTGTCTATGCATAACACTAGAACACCTGCAAATGTTTAAACAATACCCAGCTACACCTGTTACTGCAGACTGAAAAAGCTGAAATGTAGATTTTGCTTACTTGGAAGATCCCGGGAGAGACGTGAACGAAGACGTGGGTGCAGAGCAGTAAGGCAAACTGGAAGGAGATGGATGGGAAGGGGCGAGGATACCGGTAAGGAGCTAAATAAGCAAATTGCCCTCTGGAGGTAAACAGCTAGGGTGGGTAGTGCGGGTGATGCTGATATGATTAATTGAAGTAGGACAGCCAGGGACAAAGTAGAGGACCAGCACTGCAGAGGAAACAAGGTAGAGGACAGTCCTCGGCCATATAAGGCTGAAACTATATACTCACATAGCTTCACAACTTGGTGTAGTATCAGCCGGCAGCCACTACCAGTACATTGCTTGTTCATTGTATTACAATGAAACAGAAAGAGGGAGTGTGTGTGTGTGTGTGTGTGTGTGTGTGTGTGTGTGTGTGTGTGTGTGTGTGTGTCAACAGAGCGGAAGAGAGAGGACATTATGTCACGTCAAGGTAAAAGTGCGGACACGCAGTGCGGATGGCCTCTCCCGCATTTGTACCACCTGCATGTAGAGCAGGGGAGGCAAGATGAACAGTGTAGAGCACTGTGGTGAAATCTCACCTTGCATGTAATTTTAATCTTTCTATCTCACTGTGCCATGCATAATCACTGAGGAGACAGACAGCAGTGTGTTTGTGTGTGTGCATACATAGAAAGGAAAAGAAACAGACAGAGAGGGAATGGGTGGATGCGCTCCCAGGCTGCCAGAGGAGTGTGTCCTTGGACTGCCCTCTTCCGTGACGCACCCACCCACCCTTTCAGACACGCGCATCGAAACACGCGCGCACACTCCTAGCACCGGTTCATTTACTCTCTCTCTCTCTTTCCCTCAGACAAATACAGAACTAGGGCTTGCATGTGCATGCACACCTTCTTAGGTACCAGAGAAATTGAACTTAATGCTGTGCAATGCTGTGTGCGTGTGTTCACTCGTATACACACACACAGACAGAGCAGAAAGCTCTCAGACTGAGCGCAGACACCTCATCAGGGATGCAGCAGAGCCCCTGTCTGCAGAAAGAGGGAGAGAGAGAGATCTCATCTGATGTGGGATAGAATGAGGTGGAAAGGTCTGGTTGTCTGATTAAGGTTGAGCGTGTGTGTGTTCACATATGCGAGTGTGTGTGTGTCTGTGTGTTTGGGGTGGGGGGTGGGGCGGGTAGTAACTAGTGTAACTCCAGCAGTTTGGTTCATGCATGCACACAGAACACCAACCAACAGAGACAGATGACAAATAAAAGTCCACACCCAGAGATAAGTATGCCAATGCGCTCATCTTTTTATTGCACAACAATGTATTGTCTGTTTACGAATGCTTAAACAACATTGCCACTGACTGACAGACCAGCTTATTGAGAGACACCAGGGTGTGGCTCTGTGTTCTTGGCCAGCAGAGGTGGTGGACAAGACAGCCTTTTCAGAAACAGGTTCAAATCAGCCCCATGCCCTCGCCACCAGCATCTCGGTCCGCAAGGACTGGATGCAGGCAAATATTACAAGCATGCCAAGTATCCATCGAAATCCTTTGACACTGATTTGGTAGCACTGCAGCTTGGGCTGGGAGCTGAGTTGTCCTGGGTTGTAGACATCAACTTAGACAGAGCTGGAGTTTCAAAATACTTAAACCGTTCTGTTAAGAGCAGAAGCAGAGCACAGCCTGAGATGGTTGCAGACTGGCCTCCAGAGAGAGAGAGAACACATGCTGTGTCAGATATCTGTGCTGTCGTCTACATGGTGCTGGTAAAGTGTGTCTGGATGCCCACACTGAGCTATTCGTGCAGGCTGTGGAATGCTACTAAGTCTAGGGATGTGCTAGAGTGATTTCTTGGAGCATTACAGTGGTTTCTTTCATTTTTTTAATTTTTTTTTCCTCTTCTGTAGAACAAATGTAGTTGTGACCATTTAACACACATCTCTCTCGGCTTCATGTGGGTTTTTAAAACCCCCTAAATGGCATCATATTCTCAAGTGGGACCAACATTATAGAAGGAAAGGCACAGGAACACACACACGCACACACAAACTCAAGCACACAGAGTCCTGAAGCAGAGAGAAGGCTTAGGTAAGCTAAGCAGGCTACAGTAGCTACGACACAAAAGTTTAACTGTTAGACTAAATAAAATCATTGTACAGTAGTTTGGTACACAACAATGTCTAGATTTGAAGGTCCCACTAAGAATTGTACACAGAACTCTGCTTAGATAAGAAAAATACAAACATGCACTCTGCTATTATCTGCCAAGGTATGGTAGGTCAAGCTCATGACTGCTCATGAGTCGAATTCAGCCTAAGAGAGAGCTTTTCTTAAATGGCAAAGACTTGATCAGTGTGCAACCAGCATCAGAGTGTAAATAGCTGTGCAACAATATGTTTTAAGAACGTTGTTTCCAGCACGTGCACAGCCAACTTCTGTTACTGTATTGATATTGTGCAAGCATCTCCACAGTTTGTTTATTACTTTCTGTCGTTTTTGGCTCTTTGCAGTGAGCGGATCATCTAAGCTAACGTCTAGACTGCCGATATCCACCAGAAGCCTGTCAGAGCTCACCCTCTCACTGTAAAAAAAATGTATCTTATACAGCAGGCTGTGGTAAAAACACAACAATGTGCCCCACATCTCTGTGTATACCATATGTACAGAACATGAGAGTACAGAGTACAGCGCGCATGGTGTTGGAAGGCTCAAACCAACAAAAATGTGCAATTTTGTGTTTCCCGTATCTGGGAAAATTGTATATACTGACATTGTCATCGTAATTCAGCAATACTAATCCTCTTCTAATGTTTTTTTTTGTTTGTTTGTTTTTTACATATATTGCAAGTTGAAAATAAGAACACAGATTTGCATTTTTACAGGCACATACAAACCACAAAAATAGACTATGTGGAAACTAGATGTACTAGGCACAAGGTATATACAGTCCGTGTGCATGGGGCACATTGTAAAAACAAACTGCAAAACAACAACCGAACAAAAGAGACTGATAACTCAAAGACAGTTTTACAAATAAAAACAATACCCTGATTTGCTAACATGTCAACACCAAGGCATTCGGTACCCTTAACAACTGGTACAGCAAGAATGAGAGGTTTGAAACTCAGGGATTCTCAATAATTGTCAGTCAGTGTCAAACATGTATGAGGGCTTTCAATCCCACTAAATAGCAAGGCCCAGTAGAAGAACCATTAAAAAAATCACACTTTGAACCCCCCGTCATCAGGCAAATACAGCGCCACATCACACACACATACACTCACACAACATGCCGACGGTGGCTTTAAGCCAGCAGACTGAACACTAGACAGATAACTGACAGAAGTATGTGCTTGGCCAGGGCTGTATCCGCCTCATGGCCGAGGGTTCAAACAGAGCGGTACTGATCAAAGTGTCTGGGACGCCATCCTTTGAGTGGGAGTGAGTTACACACATATCCTACCGGTTGGATGCAATGAAACAGAGACGGCGCCTGATATTGCCTGAAACGTTAGCTCTTTAACTCTCCTTCCATCTTGCTCTCACTGACTGTGGTCTCATTCAAATAATATCAGCACAGTCCTGATAGCAGCTTAATAGGGCAAACTCTGGTATTAGCACAAAGGATTGGGGAAGAGGACCAATTGATTGCACTGGAACAGTACTGAAGCGCACAACAGCCATTGACTCAAATGGACTTCATTCACAATCATATTGGCATTTTGGCATGTACCTTTCCCATAGGAAAAAAAAAGCAATACAAAAAGAGTGTTGCTGATGAAGGAGGGTCACAGCTTTGTAACCAAGGTATGACAAACAACGAGGTTTAGTGCATGTTATCAATTAAACAGATAAGAGAACATGTGGCTGCTCTACAGTAACAATGAGCCAGGATTTACAAGCCATATAATGAAGCCCTTGGATAAAAACAATCACCTACGCCTTGTTTCAAACAGCTCGCAGGATAAGTGATCACAACCAAACGGGCAGAGTGTTACGCTAATAACAATCTCAGGGTTACGACTTCAGTAGATCCTCCATATTTATCTGAGCCAATCAGATTTCAAGGGGAACCTTTCAGCACGGTTAAATCAACAAGTGGATGATGGGAGGATAGACAAGTCTACATAAATCAATGGAAAGCCACGCTGCGGCAATCAATACATCTCTCTGGAAAGGTAGCAAACCTGAGTGAAATGTCCATCGCATCGATTTTACAATTAGACTCTGTCGATGTTCAGAGCTGAAAAAGGTGGACATGGTATTTGTCTAACACAATGAATCAGCTGCCTATTTTCTAACCCAATTGGATTCACTTTCCTTCCTTACAGTTTAACCAGATAATGGATCCGAGAGAAGTACTGCAACCATTTTAAGAGAATGGAGCATCGATTTTTCATTTTGATTACAAGGTCGTAGTGCAACACAAGGTGCTTAATTGGACGTCCTCAGTGCTCACTTTGGACCAAGGAGATCAAAGTTGTTATGACTCACTCTTGTTCACGCCCACTTCAGTAAATAAACTAATAGAAAGAAGAAGAAGAAGAAGAAAGATCCTCTTGTGGTAGATCTGGTACAGGTTAAATATAGCAATGTTCAACCCAGAGAAGCATCATTAAACCATAAAAAAAAAAAGATCACACGGACACTCAGCAACACATACAGCAATGCCCACAACCCCCCCTTGCATCATAAAAGCCTCTTTAAATCACTGTCCCTTTATTTACATGGCAGTTTATATCTGATTAGCTGTCTTCCTTCTCGTATGGCGTACATTCAGCAAGAGAAGTATTTCAGGTTCAACAGGATCAGAGTATTTTGAGTAAATATAACCAGCTATCCAAGCCTCAACCCTAAATGTTGAGACATTCATGGGAGTTTTGGATGAAATGGGACACATAAAGAGTTTGCTATAGAGCAAGTACGTTTTTTTTTCTCTTTTTTTCTTGTCTTTTTCTTTACATGTGAGGCATTTTATGCCCTCATATTGCCTACCCTCAACCCCCATTTATCTCACAATTGAACATTAGAGAGAATTAGTTTAGCTAAACTGATTTTTTTTCTTCTTTTTAAGGTTCTGACCTGCTGAACTCAAAGCGTGGATTCTTCCTGTGACGTGAAACCAGAATTAAACAGTTTGTTCCTCTCAAGTGTTAACAAAACAAAACAAAATAAGAGTTACACTACAAGTCCTTTCATTCTCTCAAGCATTTTTGGTTAAGGTAACAACATGGTCACTGGATTACAATACCTCAAGTGAAGCCACAATAGCTGCTGGATTCTTTAAGATTTCACATTAAAAACAAAACAATATGAAAAAGAAAGAAGTTCACTTTCCTGTACAGCATATGTATAGATATTTATATTCATATATATTTATATATATAGGCGGGGTAGAGTATTGCAGAATTATATTGCATGTGTTAATCAATAAACCTAGACAGAAACAAGCAAGTATACAGTATGGGTTGTTCACAAATGTTTCCTTCGAGTAAAGCTCAGATATTTTAACCACCTTTGCCTTCAGGGTTACAATCAGCCACCCACCAAACCGGCTTTGGTGGGCGGCTGATTGTAACCCGACCGGCATCAGAGGTGTTTGACGAAAGCAGGTCAGCACCACCATCGGCATGTCAAACCAACCGTGCAGTGTAGAGTGTGAGTCCATTCTCTGAAAGTAGAACCAAAACATATCAACAAACTCACGCGCACACACTTACACCCACATGTATACATACACACAAACCAAATATATGGCTTCTAATGTTGAATCAAGGCAGTTAAATAAATGGCATTTTCGTCGATGTTTCTTTTTTTTTTTTTTCTTTTTTTTTTTTTTTTTTTTTTTAGTTGATACAGACACAACCAGACTTGGTGTTCAAGCTCAACTTTGGTTTGGGTAGATACGATGAATATAATATCCTTCCGTACTTTTTTCATCAACTATTTACACATCGATGTAAGATCGACCAGCGGTCTAAAACACTATTTCCATTACTATTTGAAACAATATGAAGAGCAATGTGTTCTTTTGCTACGACAGCTTATACAGAAAAGTTACACTCAAAACACTTTTGGACGCTTAAAATGTCATTGTCATTTGACCTCAAGTCCCTGATTTTCAGTTTAAGTCCAGCTCCTGCTAGATTGCATTGCATGGATTCTACACAGTATGCAATAGTTACATCAATCATACTTTTCTTCATATCTTTACAGAAAAGACAGCGATATACAGTAGGTGTTTGGAAGCAGAGTGAAAGGGGTGATACTAAGACTAAAGGTGCTGGCACAGTAGACTAGACCAGTTCAACCTTAAGTTATACTAGCTTAATTGTATAGACTCCTCCTGGCCAAAGTGTCTCAAGACTTTGAGTAGCTCTTTTCCTTCAGCTGGCACCAGCACACAGTGCATCCAGGTCCAATAACTGGTGGCGCTGGCGGTAGCTGATTGGTCATTCAGCAAGCTGACAGATCAGCCAGACTGACCTAAACCGAATGGATTCTCCTACAAAAAAGGCCTCTTTCTCGAACTCTACCAGGGTCACAAGTTGGAAGACAGCCGGGATCTGGCAGAGTCTAGCTCTGGAAGGCTGACAATTGAATCTTTCTTGGGAGCTCCAGAGTCTGGAGGTCCTGATCCAGCAGCTGCTGCTACTGCCCCCATTCCAGCAGGTCCAGTGGGAGGAGGTGTGGAGGCAAATGCCACCCTCTGTTGGGCTCCCGATGATCTCCCCACCCCTGAGGGCCCTGGCATGCTGGAGTGAGGGGGCTGCGGAGGTCCGATGGAGGTGTTGGAGGTGCGAGTGGAGGGCGGGGGGCTAGGGGCTGCAGAGGCAGCTTGCGGTGTTCCTTCCTGGGGGAGTGAAGGCTGGGAGGCCGACAGGGCACGGGTGTCCTGACTCAAGCTCCCCATATGCAGGGAGTGGGTGCTCTTGTGTGAGGCAGGCCTCTGCTGGGTCTGTGTGGGGCTTGGTGCATGATGCTGTACTAGGGACAGCTGGGACCCAGAGGGTCCCACGCTTGCAATGTGCTGGAAAGTCCGTCCTGAAGCTGCAAGCGGGCTTTGGACTGGGGGACTCGAAATTGCCGATCCAAATGCCCCTCCGAGCGTCAGAGGGGGCTGAGACTGCAGAGGAGACATGGAGACTGGACTGGAGAGATTCTGCATCACCTGAAACCTTCGCACCATGCGTGGAGACTGCAGAGTCCCTGGACCCACCAAAGGACTTGCCATCTGAGGGCAAAAGCTCATGGCCACAGCTTGCTGGAGGGTGGCGATAGCAGAGCCTGTCTGCTGCTGACCCGGAGGGGCAAAGATGCCGCCAAGCGAAGGGGTCATAGACATGGCCCGTGGCCGCTGCAGGTCTACTAATTTTACCATCTCACGGTCATACTTGACAATCTCCTGAATCATCTCATTCTCCCGGTTGTTGAAGACACCAGAGTTGAGATCATGCTGCACCTTGTGCATCAGGATGGAGTTCTTTTTACCTGCAGAGAGAAATAAAAGCACAGGCTAATTACTAAAGATAAAAAAAAGGCAGAAGCAGTAAAGTTTGAGGAAAGGACAAGGAGTACATAAAGGTGAATAATGCATAAATACATGGAAACAGGAGGACGTATAACGAGAGAACAATGCGATTTAGATATAGCATGCGATGCCCTTCAAATCAGGTACATCCTCTAGCAGAACAAGCCCTCAGGAAATATACGTGTCACCCTGTACTTTTATCTATTGTTACAGCATCCTATGCCATTCTGAGCAAAGAGCACAGCTCATTGTACTGCTTCTTTTAATATTCGGGAAACATTTTCTTTTGTGTTTTTTGTTCACGGCTTCATTTTCTTTCATAAAAAGAAAAGACAGCAGAAACACTTAGCAGCTGATGTTTTAGAGATTTGCATAATTTCATGCCCAACATATTATATGATAATACATTATGATACATATGAAAATGATCTAAGTCATTTTTTACCTATGCGGTCTAGACGATCAATGGCAACAGTCTCAAAGGCTCTTCTCATCATGGGGTATTCTTCCAGCACTTCATTGAAGTGGTCAACAGACAGAGAGTAAAGTCGACAGTAAGTCTCCGCTCGCACGCTGGCTGTTCGACGACCCCTCGTCAATAAGCAGATCTCTGAAACGGGGAAACAGAAAATGCCACCGCTTACAAAAGGGTTAAAAAAACAATGGCACCATAAAAAAAATATCTTACCTCCAAAATAAGAGCCATCAGAGAGTTTCATTGCAAGCGTTCCCTTGGTGATGACGCTGCAGACTCCATGCTGGATAAAATACATTTTCTTGCCAATAGTGCCCTCCCGAATGATGTAATCTTGTGGCTGGAATACCTCAAAACGTAGCTTAGTCAACATGGCGGTCACAAAGTTTGGCTCTGCGTTGGCAAACAGCGGCATTGACGCCACCAGCTTGCGACAGTTGAAGTTCACAATTTCCTAAGACAAGACGCAAAGAAGAACAGTAAAAATGTGCACAGTAAAGACTTTTTAATATAATATATATTTCATATAATAATGGGAATAATGTGCATTATTGTCTCACTTCTCTCAGGGGCTCACTGAGTTCTCCCAGGATGCTCTCCTCATCAAACATCTTGCCCTGGTATCTGTGCTCGTAGTAATCGTGGATTTTTTGTCGGAAGTCAGCAGGCAGTTTGTGGAAGGACATGTACTGCTCCACTTGTTTGTACTAAGAGAGAAGAGAGATGTTTTTTACTTCCTGTTAATGCAAACAAAAACAACAGAAAGAAAAAGGTTTTATTGACCTTGAGGCGAGCAATTGCATTTAAAAACCACAACAGTAATGGGGCTGGCAAATTAGTTTTAGCAAGTGTGCATCGTATTGCTTTTCTAGTGTTACACTGTTCAATTGTTCAACTATTATTATACATGTTTCTTAATGCCAAAAATACAGAAAGCAGCAATTAATTGAGCCATTAAAAATGTTTTTATATCTATTTCTCATCACAGACCTGTTCAAACACTGAAAAACGTCAGCGCAACATGTTTTTTTCAGTTCACAGTCAGTAAATCCCAAATATATCAACCTGCTTCTCTAAAACGCACTGAAACACCAGCAGTGTGTATCAACCTGCCACTGATAACAGCCCCCAAAATGCACATTCACACCTGTTTGAGTAACAAGCTAAAAACTGTGAAAACTTGCAGTGCTCACTCGTTTCTGGACTTTATTATTTACTACTTCCAGTTAGGCAGGTGCACAAAGACCACATTAAATTTTGTTCAAGATCCAAGTTTGTCAACAGGCAACTGCTTGAGACTTGAGGTATTTTAATGGCCAGAGAGGGCTGAAAAACTTTACATCCTTAAAGAACTGCTCAATATTTTGCAGTTATAACTCAGTACGAAAACTCCCGACAGGTGATCGCTCAAAACGATCTGCAAAACAGCTGTTTCTGTCCAGTGTGGGCATTTCATTTTATTTTTGTTGCATTTTCTTGTGGCCTTCTAGTTTACTAGACCAATAGCATGAACTGATCATTTTCATTTCTATTACTTCATTACTTTCTCAGTCTCTGGATGAATTTTGTCCCACTTCAGCTCAGTGAGGTTTGTGGGCACTCGTTTATCCACAGCCCTCTTAAGGATAATAAAAGCCCAGGTCATCACCTCTCCACCACCATGCTTGACTGTTGGTATGAGGTATTTGTGCTGATTTGCTGTGTTTAGTTTTGTCCAAATGCTGCTGTGCATTAGGGACAAACATCCCCACTTGTGGTTTGTTCAGATGCAGCTTTGGAAAACTAAGCTGTTCTTTTAAGACTTTCTCCTCGTGACCCTTCTAAACAGGCGATACTCCTTCAGTCTTTTTCTAATTGTGCTGTCACAAACGTTTAACATGCTGACTGAGGCCTGTAGAGTCTGAGATGTAGCTCTTGAGTATTTTGCAGTTTCTTTGAACATTGCACCATCTGACCTCGGGGTGAAACTCTTCTGATCTCCTGGTAAGATTATGTCATTGTGTTAACATACACCTGAATGCTTCAGACCAGCAAATAGCCAAAACCTCTGCTTTCATACAGGCACTCAGACTTGCTGATGATCAATTAGTCAAGTAAATTTGATTAGCAGCATCTGGCAGCTACTTACCCTCCTAATTCCTAAGAAGCAGTAACCTGTCCTTAGTGTGAAAACTTGTTCACAACTGCATTTCATTCATAAATAAATACATCTAGGAGTAAGGACCTGGCTCAGGGCTCTAGTGAAAGACAGAGTTAGGAAGTGCTAAATGTTTCTAGTGAACAGGATTTTGATGATAATAAAAACCCAGAATACCACCACGCTCAAAGTTTAAAATAAACTAAGACAAAGGGCAAAATAAGCAAACATCATGCTATGATTAGGCAATGTAACCTATGATTTTTAGAAAAGGCCAAAATTCACCTGTAGCATTTTACTGCCCCACTCTCATTTAGCATTTATAGAATATTTCTCATGCCTCTTCTTCTTACAAATAATTTTTATCTGCTTCAGAATCTCTCGAGCTTCTTAGAAGTCCTCTATGCTCCAACTAGTGTTTCACCCCACTTCTCCCTCTCATGGACTAAAATGCTTTACTGAATATTTACTAATTAACTAACTATTTTTTCAAGAACTTCTCAATAGAAGCATCACTTTGCGCTAGAAAGGTTTATAAATCTCTACACATCAGTGTCTGTGCAAAAGTCTGTCAAGTGTCATCAAACATATACAAACCACGCAGCTGAAATGAACACACCAAGCAGTTAATCAATGCCAAATCAATAAAAAAGTGAAAGGTTCCCTTCAACATAGCTGCAAGTCAAACAAGCAGCTTCTGTTGTTTAGATATGCAAATTTCAGTCCTTCCAAAGTGATCACAGAGAAACTAGAAACAACGTGGCTGGGCTGCAGAGAGAGGAGTGATAGACGTGGCAGTAAACAGAGCAGACAGTGAACTGTTGGTTGAAAAAGATTTCTCCTTGTACTCTGCTGTCAGCCTCTGTGCACTTCAACCCAGCTCAATTGGAAAGCTTAAGACCACAACTCAACTCAGCCTATAAAGCTGTCCAAACCACAATTTTGAGAGGTCAGCATGCTGGCAGGTGCTGTGTACTCACAACGTTCAGGAGCTGAGGAAGTCATCATCCATACCACCCCAATCCCAGCACTCCTTAAACTCTGCTGTGCGGTGGATAAAGCCACACTCTGTAAGTATCGAGTAACGTCCCCTGAGAAGGTTTGCTCGCAAGACCACCCTCCCCCACCACCCCACCCACCCCACCCCCACTCAAAAAAAACCTGAAAGGCTTGTGGCTAACTTCTTCCACAGACAACAGTATGTCAGATGTTGTGTGTCCTGCCAGAGGCCCCGAGCAAAACAATGAGTGCCACCTGCTCAAACACTGTTGCAAGCTCTGAATCCTCCAGTGCAACGTATAAACTCCTTAACTGAAAATTGTTTGCTGTCAGGAACAGACTGCCTGGCTCTCTGTTTGCAGAAGAAAATTACAGTTAGCAAACAATGATTTTAAGATGTACACAACTGAATGCATGTGTACTGTACTAGAAGAATTATTGTCTCAGATCCAAGCTGCACAATGGAACGAAAGCTTCCCTTTTTTCATTCCCAGGCTTTATGACAGCAGTACATCCTGTGAACATCCTGGTCACACTAACACGCTAATAAGAGACGAACGACAAACAAGAAACCAAACAGACCCCACCGATGAGTACCATTTCACTCTACTAGGGTCACATTGCTTAAACACGGAGCTTTATTTCTGTTAAGACTTGTTTTGAATTATCTCCCTTGCTATTGGCTGAATATTTTACATTATTCGTGTAATGTGAATGAAACTCTCAGGGGGAAAACAGTGGACAGCGGGGGACGATCTCAGAGCTAATAAACTGAGCAGATATGCTCGTATTATTAAAACTGAATAATAAATAATGATGTGCATACACTGACACCACAGTGCAGAAGTAAATGCAACATTTTTGCTTTTTTCCCCTTTTCTGGGACATTTTTTCCTCTGACACAGTCACACTGACACACTCTTTATCTGTTCAACTGCTTATTAAAGCAAATATCTCATAAGCCAGTCACATGGCAGCAACTCAGCAGAGACATGGTCAAGATGACCTTGACCGAGCATCAGATCAGAGCATCAGATTGAGGTATGAAGCTGTTTTAAGTCACTTGAACGTGATATGGTTGTTGGTGCCAGATGGACTGCTCAGAGTATGTAAGAGGCTGTGTGATGCCATCATGTCAATATGGACCAAAATCTTTAAGGAATTTTCAGCACATTATTGAAGAAATATGCAAAAGGAGCTACATTAGCTACTGCCAATGTAGTTCTCAGTAAGTGCATAGTGATGCAACATTCAGGATTACATCACAAGTGTGAGCAGTCAGCGAAGTGAGCATACAATACTGTGAAAAAAGTCTTAAGCAACCCCTCATTTACAGCAATTTATTGAAACATGCAAACATACCTGGATATACAGCATATAACGCAAAATCAGAGTTTGTACAATTCTAACAAGGTCAGTAGTTAGCTTGACCACCTTCATTCTTAAGCACAGCCTAAACTGTCTCTGGCTTTTTTCTTGTAATTTCTTTAAGTGGTCTTCAGGAATAGTGCTCCAGGCCCTGGGGAAGTCGATCCATGAATGATAGTGTTTCGTTGGGTGTTTTTCTACCTGGGTATGGTTTTAAAGCACTGGCAGTGTGTCCAGGATCATCACCATACTAGAAAATGAAGCCACTGTCAGTCTGATGGTACTTTCCAAGTTCATAATTCCATCATTCTTTAGAGCAGGGGTCCCCAGTCCACAAGGGCCAGTGACCCTGCAGGTTTTAGATGTGTCCTTGATCCATCACAGCTAATTTAAATGGATAAATTACCTTCTCAACATGTCTTGAATTTCTCCAGAGGCCTGGTAATGAACTAATCATGTGATTCAGGTGTGTTGACCCAGGGTGAGATCTAAAACCTGCAGGGACACCGGCCCTCGTGGACTGGGATTGGGGACCCCTGCTTTAGAGGATCCCTGAAACCACCGGCTGAAAGGCAGACCCAAATCATGCCAGGGCCTCCGCAGTGCTTTACAGCTGGCTATAGACACTCACTGTTGAATCTCTGTTCTGACCTCTTCTGTGGATATTGGTGACCCGTTCACTCTTCATATATTAGAACTAGAGAAAGGGGATTTAATTTGACTCTTTGCTTCCTGTCTGTTATCTGTAGACACAACAGTGGTTCGTCCCTTGTGTCAGGTGCCTTTTTTTATGTTTGAACAATTCACTGGTCGGTGTTAAATGGCTTAAAGAAAAAAAAGATTGCATTTAAAAGGTACAAGAACTGGACTGAAAAAGCAGACGATGTCCAAAGATGGCCAATGACCAGTGTCCTTCAGAAATCCTGGAAAGCTATTGCTCAAAAATTACAGGAACGCTTGGCTCCTTGTGAGCAAAATATTAAGAAATAGGTGGTGCCTCAAGACTTTTGCACAGTATTGTAAACCTTGTCCAGATGAGACGGTGCCATGGGCTTGAAAACAGTTTCGGTCTTTGGGTATGCTTTGCCAGCAAAACGGCCGTAAACTCCTCTATTTCCCTGTGCACTCTGGAGAAGAAGAATGTGTAAATATTTTAAGATTGGCCTCTCTGATGAGTAACTCTTGACAAAAAACATAAAAGTC